TTTTCTGGGTTGTTTCAACAATCAGAGAAAGTGCATCTTGTCCAAAATATCTTCATCCACTAAATAATGAATCAGAAGATTTTTTAATTTCTTGTTAAAACGCATTGAAGATTTAATTTCTAATAAATTATACTTTTTTGCAAGATCGAGCAAATCAGTTTTCTTAGCCAAATCTAATACCTCCTGGGAAGGTCAGCTACAAACTTTTCTAAATTAAAAGACATGACTGCTTGCTGCTGGTTTTAAACTCAGAAAGTGATGTGTTTCAAAAATTTCAAAATGAAAGGTACACTTAATAGAACAACTATGATATCAACTCAGATAAGTAAATACGGTAATAATAAAATGTAAAATAAACGGTAATAATTTCCAATAATGTAGCCAAAAAGAAATATTCAAATCCCGGACGAGCCCCCAATTTCTGTTACGAGTCAGGCGTAACGAGAAAGAAAAGCCAGCAACAAACTTGTAACAATAACAAATTTATTTCAGAAAAAATATTAAAGAAAAAATAAAATAACAAATTATGTTTACAAATACCTGAAGTCCAAATAAAAATGAAAATTACAAATGTCTAGTCTGATCCTGGAATGATCCTTTTTCAATAGCACAGTTAAATCCAAGTTAAATCCAAGAACACTTTAGAATAAAATCCACAAGAATAATTAATAATCCAAGCTCCAATAAATTACTTAATTTCCAAGTTGAATAATACTCCAAATATATTGATGACTTAAAAGATTACTGATGACTAAAAAAGGTAACTGATGACTTAAAGATAAGAGTAATGAAAAATGTCTCCTTCTATATATTAACTAAGAAGTTTCTAGAATAGTCTCCCATTTACTACAGTAATCATAATCTAGCAACTTCAACAATAAAGATCATTCCAGAAATTTCTATCTAAATATAATGCATGAGTTTTCCACAACAGTTAAGAACGTTCTAGTACATACATGTAGTTCATGTTCTAAAAATAGAACAATGACAATATTGGAAATACCAACTGGTCAGATATAATCTATATACATATAATATGTTGCATACATAACAAAGTCAAGTTTGAATATGGGTCAACTGGGGTCAAAAGCTAGATTACACTACCCAAATATGGAAAAACCGTTTTAACACACTAGAGGTCACATGTTTGACTCAATTGTCATCAACTTTGGTCAGGATGCTTGTCTAAGACATTGCTTGGATGTGGTGAATGGGCCAGGGGAGCGATCTAGGGTTATCATGGCCCTCTTGTTTTAGAAAATACCTATTTTATTTGACCTGTAATAAGGAACGCAGCTTTCCATACATAGCATATTCATTCTTTTATTCAAATAAGACACATTAAGTAAGAATTTCATAGATTTCAATAAATTTCTGTGATTAAAATATTTTAAAGTTATAAGGTTCAAACTTGACATGAATTGACGAAGCTAATAGCTTGATGCGTATTAATGGTAATGAAAACTTTGTATATGCAGGCATTAGCCACCACTACAGCCGAACTACATGTGGCTACGAGTGACGAAAGAAATAAATGGGAAAAACAGTTTTCCGGTGTCGTCTGCTTTGTTAAAGACTGGAACAAGCGTTCATTCTTTATCCGCTTTTATGACGAAAAGGTTTGCTAAACAAAATTTTAAATGCGACTCATTGCACCTGACTTTTATATGAATCTACAATAAAAATAATATTGATAAAAACTTAGACCTAACTGTAGTATGAAAAAGGCAAATGCGAAATCCAAGTACTTTTCATATTAATCAGAAGTAACAAAATTCACATGTTTATGAGCAATGGCAATACAAGTCATTTGATTTTTAATGTACAGACGGCAAATGTTTGTGATGATGTGTAAAGTTTGTACATTTAATCATTAAGCTAATTTAAGCACTTTTTCAGGAAAAATCATTGGTATGGGAAGATGATATGAAACAGACTCGAGGCTTGCAAATTACCACAAACGACAACATTCTTGCCATTACAGCTGCTGTAAGTGCTTTAACCGACAACCATATCTAATGATTCTAAGCTAAATACTAGTTATTTACTGCAGGTATGAAAAGGAGGAATAAGTGGATTAATTTTTTGTCAGTTTCATTTTATTATGCCCCCCTTCGAAGAAGAGGGGGTATATTGTTTTGCTAATGTCGGTCTGTCTGTCTGTCGGTCTGTCCGTCGGTCTGTCGGTCTGTCCGTCGGTAGACCACATGGTTTCCGCTGATTATCTTGAAAAGTATTTATCACAAAGTCTTCATATTTTACATAGTGATTGGTCATAACTAGTAGATGACCCCTATTGATTTTGGGGTCACTAGGTCAAAGGTCAAGGTCACAGGGACCTTAAATGTCAAAATGGTTTCCGCTGATTATCTTAAAAAGTATGTATCACAAAGTCTTCATATTTCACATAGTAATTGGTCATAACTAGTAGATGACCCCTATTGATTTTGGGGTCACTAGGTCAAAGGTCAAGGTCACAGGGACCTTAAATGTCAAAATGTTTTCCGCTGATTATCTTGAAAAGTATGTATCACAAAGTCTTCATATTTCACACAGTGATTGGTCATCACTAGTAGATGACCCCTATTGATTTTGGGGTCACTAGGTCAAAGGTCAAGGTCACAGGGGCTTTAAATGTCAAAATGGTTTCCGCTGATTATCTTGAAAAGTATGTATCACAAAGTCTTCATATTTCACACAGTGATTGGTCATAACTAGTAGATGACCCCTATTGATTTTGGGGTCACTAGGTCAAAGGTCAAGGTCACAGGGACCTTAAATGTCAAAATGGTTTCCGCTGATTATCTTGAAAAGTATGTAACACAAAGTCTTCATATTTCACACAGTGATTGGTCATAACTAGTAGATGACCCCTATTGATTTTGGGGTCACTAGGTCAAAGGTCAAGGTCACAGGGACCTTAAATGTCAAAATGGTTTCCGCTGATTATCTTGAAAAGTATGTAACACAAAGTCTTCATATTTCACACAGTGATTAGTCATAACTATTAGATGACCCCTATTGATTTTGGGGTTACTAGGTTAAAGGTCAAGGTCACAGGGGCTTTAAATGTCAAAATGGTTTCCTCTGATTATCTTGAAAAGTATGTATCACAAAGTCTTCATATTTCACATAGTGATTGGTCGTCACTAGTAGATGACACCTATCGATTTTGGGGTCACTAGGTCAAAGGTCACAGGGACCTTAAAATTTCAAAATGGTTTCCGCTGATTATCTTGAAAAATATTTCTCACAAAGTCTTCATATTTCACATAGTGATTGGTCATCACTAGTAGATGACCCCTATTGATTTTGGGGTCACTAGGTCAAAGGTCAAGGTCACAGGGACCTTAAAATGTCAAAATGGTATCCGCTGATTATCTTGAAAAGTATTCATCACAAAGTCTTCATATTTCACACAGTGATTGGTCATAACTAGTAGATGACCCCTATTGATTTTGGGGTCACTAGGTCAAAGGTCAAGGTCACAGGGGCCTTAAATGTCAAAATGGTTTCCGCTGATTATCTTGAAAAGTATTCATCACAAAGTCTTCATATTTCACCTAGTTATTGGTCATAAGAAGTAGATGACCTCTATTGATTTAGGGGTCATTAGGTCAAAGGTCAATGTCACATGGGCCTTAAATGTCAAAATGGTTTCTGTTTATTTTTCCATAATTGAACACTTCCATGTACCCATTTTTGGCAAGTTTATGTAATAAAATTATCAATTATGTGAGTCAATGGCTAGAAAGGGGGGGTATATGTGTCGTTCGACATTCTTGTTTCTATTGCTATTACCCTCTGATTTCCTTTTAACACTAGATTGTTTGCAGTTACTTGTATTAAGTCAACTTGTGTCTCAATATCTGACATACCGAGGAGAAATTCTACACAATTGTCAAACGGATTTTGAAACAAGTTGTACAGTAAAAGTTTTTGAATGCTCTACATGTATGTTATGTTTAAGCAGTATATTATAATTGTAAAATGTTCCGAAAGTGAACATTTAGGAATGACCTGGTCTGTCAAGACCAACATCCATTGGTTTATGAGCTTTATTCCTTCCATAATCTTAGTCTTAAAAGAAGGAAAGCAAATAAACCTTCGGTTGAGTGGAAAATTTATCTAGATTGTAGAAAAATTATACGTTAAGGCCAAACCCACCCCCATAAACCCCAAATGTTGAAGTGAGTTCGTTCCAAATCGAGCTGGGATCAAAATAGGTTCGTAGCATTGTGTCACACAGAGGTTAAGGACAAAACAAAAGAGCCTATGGCTTGTCAATTTTCTTTAATATGATCATGTTTTGGGCACAATAATCAGATCTGTAGCTCAACATTTACTGTCTCGTAACGAGGTAAAGCAATCCGATATATTTATTATCTAAAATCATGGCATTATTCACACTTACTGCACGAAATAAGGCAATACCTTTTGTGATATTTCATAAAAATTCTATAAAAAAAACAACAGTTTTTTACTTTTTAACTGAGAAATACAAAACAATTTATCACTTCACATTAAAAAAATTAAATAGTCAAAAAAGCCTTCGATGTCCATGCAGTCCACTAATACTTCTAACTATTTTAACTATAAAATTTTATGTTTTAGGGTAACAAAATTGTTTTTCTTGATGACCATGAGGGTGACAACTTTGAAAAGGTGTTGATGGAAAAACTTAACGGTAAGTAAAACTCATTCCGAATTCACCTTGTAAATAATGAGTTTTATTATTTATTCAAGTACATTTACTATTTCTCATTTATTTTGTTTGATGTTCACTTTGAAAGAAACTTCCTAGGTCACAACGTCAAAATGATTTTTTTAAATAGATATACGATATAGGACTGTTCATCATTAAAACATGCTTATAAAAATTCTCAGTCTGTTGCCATTCTAGTGTTACTATAATGATGCACTGATAAAGACTATTTTATCTACTTACAGCCAGACGAAATCGTCGGAATAGAATTCGTACCAGTGCTGGGACAGGTAAATCTCAATGTCGCACTTTAATTAACATGTTTTCAATATTTTCATAGATATTCATAACGCTTTCATGTTAGGGTTTATCGACATTACACTCATTATAAAGATGTTAGCAGTTTAAAATTTAACACATTTATCGATATTTTTACTGTATTTTAACTTGACCGTCACCGCTGTGGGTTCGAATCCCGACAGGGACTTTGGATTCTTTCATGTGAGGAAGTTATCCAGCTAGCTTACGGAACGTCGGTGGTTCTACTCAGGTGCCCGTTCGTGCCTGAAATAATGCACAGAAGGGCACTTGAGGTCTTCCTCCACCAGTAAAGCTGGAACGTCGCGATATGACCTATACTGTGTCAATGTGACGTAAAACCCAAAACAAACAAACAAACACTATGATTTGAATGATGCTTTTAAAATGTAATAGACAGCAATAATTCATATTTATTTATTATATGTACTTGTACATGGAATTGAATCCGAGAGGACATATTACTGATGATTTCTTTTAAAGATATATTTATAAATTGAGCTGCAATTATGAAAATACGAGTCGAATGTTGTTTGTATCGCACCAGGAACATATAATGAAAGTGAAAATACCCCGTCACTAAAGAAGTCATCAGACAAAAGCAAGAGAAAACTTACATTAGAAGATATTGGGAAACCTACAAATGTAAGACACAATCAACATATAGGCTGGAATCCTGATACTGGGTTACATGTAAGTTGATGTGGCCCGCGTGTTCAGAATATTCCTTGTGAGATACAATTAAATGTTATATGCTCTAGTGTCTATCGCCCGGCAACAATACCCCACCCCACTTGAGTCATAACTTCTCTTAAATATCAAAATGTTGTTAAAAAGTCCTTCTAATCAACTTGCTCCTTTATGTCAATCCATTTGAGCGTTTTGTGTCCCCTTCATATAAAAAGCTTTTTTAAATCTGACACCCTCTACCTAGTGATTGGAAGCATACTAGGCCATTATGAGGTGATGATAAAATAAATATTGAAGTGCTTTGTAAGTAAATATTCAAAACTGATCTGAATGTAGAATATATTGATAGTGAATCTGAAATAGTTTTTCATTTCAAACAAATTTCGAGATAATAACGGAAACAGTTCGTTTAAAACACTGAGTATTTTGTCTGAAGAAAATACTAATATTTTGTTCTTAAAACGACTGATGTCCGATATTAAATTATTATCTTGTTTTTTTTACAGTTTAATGATTTAGATCCAGATATGAGGTCACTGTTTGAGAAAATTGGCATTACAGATCAGGACCGCGTTGACAACGAAACAATGAAGTTTATTTATGACTTTGTAGAAAATCATGGCGGAACGGAAGCCTTTGCAAGAGAAAATAGAGGTAAGGAAACCTTTTTAGAACGGTTTGGGTAAAGGAAAAGATACATTAGTTCGGGGCCAACATGGATTATCTTTATTAAAAGAACACTTCCTATGTTTGCAGAGTTTCAGAAAACATTTAAATCCGTCAAATGGCAATGTAGAATGATTATTGATTTCTTTCAAAGTTACGGTAAGAGTAAACTAAAGTTTAGTCATATAAACTGGCTTACACATTAAATGAATTAGAGATCATGTCTTTGAATAAAAACACAGCATAGCGATAAAAAAGAGAACAACATTACAAATACATATACATTTATAAAAGTAGATTGTTTATTTCAAAACTAGGGGCGTCCATGGCCGAGTTAAGGTCGTTGACTTCAAACCACTTGCCCCTCACCGCTGTGGGTTCGAATCCCAACAGGGACTTTGGATTCTTCTTCTGAGGAAGCTATCCAGCTAGCTTACGGAACGTCGGTGGTTCTACTCAGGTGCCTGTTTGTGCTTGAAATGAAATAATGCACGGAAGGGCACCTGGGATCTTCTTCCACCAGTAAAGCTGGAACTTCGCCATATGACCTATACTGTGTCGGTGTGACGTATAACCCAATCAAACAAACAAAATTTCAAAACTAGGTTGGTTAAGGTCGTTTACTTGCCCCTGACCGCTCTGGGTTCGAATCCCGACAAGGACTTTGTATTCTTTCATGTGAGGAAGCTATCCAGATAGCTTACTGAACGGCGATGGTTCAACACAGTTGCCCTTTCGTGCCTGAAATAATGCACGGAAGCGCTCCTGAGGACCTCCTCCACCAGTAGAGCTGAAAGGTCGCTATATGACCTATGCTGTGTCGGTGTGACTTAAAACCCAATCAAACAAACAAACAAACAAAACTAGATTTGTCCTTAAATTGTAGTACAGGACTGTTAATAGCTATCTGACATACATTTCTGGTGTAAGGGATATTCATAGAGAGATCATAACACTGTGGAAGAAATATTTTCTAATTATTGTTTTCATTTGTAAAACAAACGTAAATTTCGCAGTTTTTGCATGTACATATTTCACTCTATGTCACTTTTGTCCTCTTCACACACACTTTATGAAGGCATATTGATTTCCTTTCAATATGCTCGTACGCGTACGAACGATTGTTTGGTTTCCCTTCTACACACATAAATATGATCATTTCTTAGTCGTTTAGATGTGTGTTGATGTACATGTATCAGCAAATATTGTTTTAACTATTTGCTAAAATACGTTTCTGGTTTGTTTCAGAACAACAGATGAAAAAGCAAGTACCCCCACCACCTAACAGGGCCGGGCCACCCCCGCCACAACCTCCTAGTTGCTTCAAAAGGGCTGGACCACCCCCTTCACCCCCTAGTAAAGCTGTCCCTCCCCCTCCGCCCAACAGGGCTGGACCACCCCCGCCACCAAACCCTAGTAAAGCTGTACACCACATCCATCCAACAGGGCTGGGCCACCACCGCCGCCACCCCCTAGTAAAGTTGTACCTCCACCCAACAGTAATAAAGATAAGTTTGGGCTTCCTCCATCGTCCTCTAGACATACATCGGGGCTTTCCCCGCCACCTCCTAGTAGAACTGGGCCTCGGCTGTCATCCCCTAGTAACACAGATACAGACGCTGCACATTCCTTACAAGACACAGATCAAGGGGCAACAGGTGAAAGTAACCCAATCAAACAACAAATAATGCAGTTACTTCTCCAAAACCCTGCAGAGATCACCGACTTTCTATATGATATTATTGATAAGCGAGGTGGCGTCGACTTTATCAAAGACAGTCTTGCACAACAAATGAACAAGACTCATACGGCACAAGAAAATGGTAATATAACTCATTAATTATTTTAGACCATTCAGACAAATATTGATCACTAATTTTCCTTCCTTTTATCTCTTTCGAAATCGTTTTGATAAAACTTGCACGATATAATTGAGTAATTTTGCTGTCAAATTTCTATATTTGACTGACAATTTGATTTCTTTACTTTGATGCTAAGACCAGATCGGCAAGTGCAACAATAGTTTATAGGTTAACAAATGAGCTAATATATACTTAACTTTACTAGTAATGCTTTTTTGCGATCATACATCTGGCTTTCGCGACACTGTCAGTTTTATTCTAATACATTGTATATTAATTTATTTTTTTCCGTAGACCAGCAGCCACCTGATTTTACCATGCAAAACGTATCTGATAATATCAATGACGATGTTCAAGCTGCGAGTGAACTATCAAATAAAAGTGAAGTACCAGGTAGGAGAAAGACATCTGATGATGTGACCGGACGAAGAAATGCTGGGGAAGTTCCTGGTGTAACAAGAAATGCTGGGGAAGTTCCTGGTGTAACAAGAAATCTCTCACCAGGTACATGTCTTATTACAATAAAAAGGCGTAACATAATCGACATATCACATTTTATTAACCAAGATATACATGAATACATTTTACAAGTCAGATAAAGTAAGGTCTCCTGGCATTTACAAAAGGGTTTATTACATTTACAGATTATATGTACACCAATGGAAATGAATTATGTATTGTCTATATAATAAATAAATAATGAAACTATCTCCTATTTGACAGGTTATGTATTGAGTAATTGTATAAATAGTTAGTCATTAAACTGTCCGTTTTCTTTCTTTCAAACTAAAACTCAAGCGGTGAACTCAATCCTTGACATTATTGTTGTGTGTAAATGTTTGTGGTATTTTTAGTTTCTTCTTTTAATATGGGTGGTTACGGTATTCCTATTTGAATACTGTATAATCACCCTTAGAATATGGTGCCTGCTATTTGAATATGTCCTTTGACTTCTTCACGTTGTATGCAGGCTTCATAACCTGTGATCCCCTTTCAAAATTCTATTTTGTTTAGTTTCGCCCATCGGTTTCCCGGTTTAAGACTCACGCTTTCTTTTACTTAATGACCATACGTCGCTTTTTATGGAATTGCACGAAAGTGTCACATTGAAGGTTCCATGATAAACGCTGCATGAACACATGCAAAATAATTTCACCATGTTCGTGTTTAAAAGTTTGTCTAAATCAAACCGAGCTTGCAACATTTTCCATTTTGTCGTTTTGTTTGTTCTTTAGGGATTACTTTATACTTTATTCCAGATTATTGCATTTCATGTAACATACTTTAAGCAATGGTCTGTAAACTGTTTGTTTTCTTTATCTAAAACTTAAAATTAAGCATTGAACTCTAGTGTTATGTTTTTCATCTGACTGTTTTCTATTTGACAGATTATGAATTAAGCAGTGACATGTTTGATGATGACGATGATGAGTGGAGTGATTTAAATGATAAAATTGACCAAAAGTAAAGATAATGTTGGACAGTGAAATACATGATGTATTGGTTGCTACAATTAATGTATTCATTGTATATAGTGTACTTGATTTACAAGTATCACGTGGCGTCGCTCACTATCTTATAATTATAAACTTTCTTTATTATTCATTTATCTTATAATTCATAAATACTGCATTTCTGTTTTTAGTTTGTGAAATTATTTCATTTTAATCCCACATGGCTCAGTTTTACATATTTGATTTTATAATGAAAAAATTTTCAAATAGTATGACTTAATGTTGTTTTTTTTTCAGTTGCTTCTTCTACAACTTACGTATATTGTTGAAGTGATAAGTCTAGATAAACCTTAGATTACATTGAACAAATTATTTTCATTGTCAGTAACAACAACATCATGAGTAACGGTATAAAAATAGCAGACAAATTAAGTTGTTGTTTTCGACGCATCTTTTATTGAAAGAGATGCTTCACCTTTACTAATTTGATGACATGCATTTTAATATTGTATTGCAAAATATATCCTATATGAAACAGGTAATTTATTATAGGACTACAACAGGAACTTCGATGTGTATTGTCTTTTATCTTGTATTTAAATATGTAAACTGAAAACATGTATTTAATTTGTAAAGATAAATATCATGTATAAATATGTTCTAAATATTTACGTTAACGTCTTTTCAATTAATTAAGTTTATGGTTAGATTCAGACGACTTATTTGGAACAAACAAAAACTGAATGCAATGAATTGAGGGATAATCTCTTTTTTCAGCAAGTAATACGTCACAAATAAGAACATGTCTTTCTCATATTTTACCTCAGAATTACAAATACAGTAAAACTTGTCATATGTGACTTTCCATGGGACCATATCAAAAAGGTCACATATGACAGGGAGTCTTTAATCCAGGTTCCCAAAAAAATCGTCAGTTGTTTCAAAATGCTATTTTTACTTGTTTGTCTTTTTTTTATTGTGTTTTCATTGTGTTACATATATGTAATACTTAAATATGGTTTGTTACAGATATATGATAATTTTTATTTAAATACTTTATTATAGTTAAAATGTTTTTAATGAAATAAAAATGTTTACATGCATAATTATACAAATACAATGTGTTATAGATATAAAATTTTTAAAGAAGAGCCGAAATGAATTCACAATGAACTTATGTACATATATGTATTATTATAAAAGTATCATGTTAAAAATTTTAAATATCATTAAAATACTAAAATTCTAAAATGTGTTCATTATAGTCTGAATTATAGATTACCCACGGACTTTCGCTTCCGGAGCGTCTGTATCTGGGTTTTGCCTACGCCAATTTCTTCAGCAATTTTGTAGGCTTGGGTGCCGGCATCAAGCTTTTTGATTGCCTGAATTTTTTCTTCAAGAGACAATTCTACGTGCTTTGTCAGCCATATTTGTATGATTTCAATTCAATTCAATTCAAAACTTTATTGTACAGTATGTAAAAACATGTGAACATATACAATCATCAAGTTCACAGCAGTAGTACATGTAACAAAAACATAATCTTGTCAAAAACATTTTACAAAACTAATGATCTAAGTATGGACACAAGGAAATCTGTCATTATTTTATTAAATCTATATATATGATATATTATATATACGTATAGTGGAAAAGGAAAAAAAATGACAGAAAATTTCAGCCAAATTTATTAAACTAGGTAAACCATCACTAGTTGAACCGTTGACAAATCTAATTAACATCTCAATTAAATCACAAATTTTTCCGACTAAATTAAAACAAGCACAAGTAAAACCACTTTTAAAAAAAATGACGCTATGACCAAATCTAACTATAGACCAGTAAGTTTATTACCTATTCCATCTAAACTTTTTGAAAAAGTATTATTTGATCAGCTCTCTGCTTTTTTGATGATATATTTGACAATTATTTATGTGCTTTTAGGAAAGGCCATGGGTGTCAAACTACTCTGTTAAGACTGCTTGAGGACTGGAGACAGGCCCTGGATAACAATGAATATGTGGCAGCAATTTTGATGGACTTATCTAAGGCATTTGATTGTCTGCCACATGACATTCTTTTAGATAAGCTAAAAGCATATGGCTTATCAGGCCCTGCCACCAGTCTCATGCAGTCTTATCTGTCAAAAAGGAAACAGCAAATAAAAATAGGCAATATTGTAAGTTCATGGGCTAATATATCCAAAGGTGTCCCTCAAGGATCAATCCTGGGCCCTCTACTGTTTAATATTTTCATAAATGACATATTTTTCTTTAAATAAAAATGTACTTTATATAACTATGCAGATGACAATACCCTTTCTTTTCGGACTAAACATTTTGATGAACTAATATGTACCTTAGAACAAGAAAGTAACTATCTTATAAATTGGTTTCATTTTAATAAAATGCAAGCTAACCCTGATAAATTTCAAGCTATTGCTGTAGGGAAGAAAACTTTCACTAAATCCCCAGCTTTTAAAATTAATACTAGTGAAATAACATGTGAGGAAATTGTAAAACTCCTTGGCATCGACATTGATCAACAATTAAATTTAAATTTTCACATAAGCAATATATGTAAAAAAGCTGCTAATCAGTTAAACATCCTCAAAAGAATAGGTCACAATTTAAATCAAACAAATAGGCTAACAATCTTTCATACTTTTATTTTGTCAAATTTTAATTTTTGTCCTATTTCATGGCATTTCTTTTCAGAAAATAATACTAACAAGATGGAAAAACTACAGGAAAGAGCACTTAGATTTGTCTATAATGATTTTAATTCAAGTTATGAAGATATGCTGATAAAAGTTAATATACCAACTCTAAAAATAAGAAGAATGAGGGCTATGGCCATTGAAACTTTTAAAATTTTTCATGATATGTCTCCTGCTGTTCTGTCTGACCTTATTGTCAAGAAAACTACTGGTATTAATTTTAAATATTCAAATATTTTGCAGATCCCGCAAGTAAGAACTACAACTACTGGTAAAAAATCTTTCAGGTATGCTGCACCTGCTTTATGGAATACTGTACCCGAAAATTTTAGAAAATGTTCAAATTTTGCTCAGTTTAAAAAGTTAATTTTATCCTGGAATGGTAAACAGTGTAAATGTATTGCTTGCAGCTTATTTCTATATCTTGATTTACTCCACTTTTTATTTATTTTTTTCTGGGTATGAACATTTTCTTTTGGGTCACATTTATCATTTAGCTTCTTCATGTTTTTTTTTTTTGCTTGCTTGCTTGCTTTAAATGTGTTTTTGCTATTCTTCCCTGCTTATGTTAATAATATCATTTAGTTTCTAGATATGATGTTGCTTTATTTTGTGATCTTTTATTTTGATTTTGCTTTTTGTTTTGTTGTTTTTTGCTTATCTTTCCAGCATGACTCGAGCTAGCTGTTAAATGAGTTCAACTAATGAGTTACATGTTTAATACCTTCTGTCTTTGTGTAGTCTGATAACCCATAGTCTTTCATATTTAAATTATATATAAAAAAATGTGTGTTTTTTTTTTTGTTTTTTTTTAGTGTTTTTATTTATTTATTTTTTTAAATAATTCATTAAATTTTTAATTGTTTACTCGGTATATTATTGAACTTTAAGTAAATTTTTAGATACTAGACATTGCTATATAGTGATGTAGATTTGGGTAAACTATCATTTTTAGTTTTTTAGCATATGATTCGTTTTTATAAATATATCCTAAAAGGTCTATTTTATGCATGTGATGTATACATATCATGTCTAATCATTTTTTATTGTAGCTGTTTTATCTTTGTTGATCTTATACTTTATGTTATTTACAGGCGGTTATAAAAGCTCCTAGAGCTTATGTTGTACTGTTGAAAACTTGCCGACTTGAAATAAAACGTATCTTATCTTATCTTTTTTTATCTTAGAATCCCCTGTGAGTATGGAGGGGAAGTGATTGATCTGAAGTGCCCGGATGTGCACGTTTTATCCGTTTATCAGACGGTTGTAATTTACTGCTTGGTCAAGGTGATGTAATCATGAGATTATTTATTTTTAAACTTGGACAGTTATAGTGACTAAAAGCTTCGTATTGCTATCTTGATACAAACCAGTTTCAATGCTATGGTTAAAAATAGTGACAATGCTCTAGTAACACCTTTTGCAATGGTGATAAACATTCGAGACTATGGCGCTCAATTTTGACGGACAAATGTCAATTGAAAGCGAGAAGTGTGAAAAACATAGTTCTTGTGAAAATTAATTCGGTCATAGAAATGTATACGATTGCCCTCAACGCTGTGTGTCCGAATCCTGTCAGTGACTGGATTCTTACATATGTGGAAGCTATCCAGCTAGCTTATAGAGTGGGTCTTCTCATGTGCCCGCTCGTGCCTGAAATAATGCACGGCAGGGTACCAGTATAAAATCTAAATCTGAAACTGATTTTACAAAGTTCATTTTGTATCTGAAATAGTGCATATGTGAAAACAGTACTGGTTGTAATTGTTAAGGGAAAACAATACTTTCTAACGAAATCACTGGATGCTGTTTGTTTGTTTTGGGTTTTACGTCACATCGACACAGTATAGATCATATCGAGACGTTCCAGCTTTACTGGTGGAGGAAGACCTCAGATGCCCTTCCGTGCATTATTTCAGGCACGAACGGGCACCTGGGTAGAACCACCGACGTTCCGTAAGCTAGCTGGATAGCTTCCTCACATGAAAGAATCTAAAGTCCCTGACGGGATTCGAACCCACAGCGGTGAGGGGCAAGTGGTTTGAAGTCAACGACCTTAACCACTCGGCCACGGACGCCCCACTGGATGCTGTACTAAATCAGTGGTTTCCTTTGAAGTCAATGATGACTATGAAAATTCAGAAAAAAGCAGATTTACTAGTTGCTATGGAAAATTTATATGTGCTATTGAAGTAACTGTTTTATGAAAAGCAAACGGTTGCTATGGGAGTCATCAGTTTCTATGGAAAGTCAAAGGTTCTTATGGAAAGTCAATGATTGCTTTTGAAAGTTAATGTTTGCTATGGAAATATACAGTTTGTTATGAAATGCCAATTGCTGCTATGGAAGTCACTAGTTGCTAGGGAAATTTACAGTTTGCTATGGAAAGTTAATCCCCGCTATTAACCTTTTCCCTTATATAAACGTGTTTCGACGGCATCCCCCCCTTTTTGAGGCCTCAAACAATACAAAATGCCCTATTTAGGCCCCAAACACTGTTTTACGTTGAGAAATGTTGTTAGGAAAGTGACCACTTTTTTGGCGCCGTCCCCTATCCAAATGTTACATCAGGGGGTTGCCAGAAGGGGGATGTGCCCCCTTCTGTTTGGGGACTTTTTTTTTGGGGGGGGGGGGGTAGAGTCCCCCTCATCGCAATGGAAAGTTTGGACATGTGACAGACTAAACATGGCCTCAAGCCGATCTTAGGGTAACAATTAACCGACGCTGAAAAGCCTTTTACTCTATCTCAATTCATTGAGAAGTTGCAGCACTTTGAAATCAGTTTTGATGAAGGAAAAAAACAACAATTCAAAATAGTGAATTTTGGGAATTTTGAGACGTCCCCCCGTTGCCATGGTAGCAGAAAATTTACAATTGAGCATGCTGTTACAGAGGCTATGGTGTAGTCAACTTTTGTGCAAAGTTTCGTCAGTATTGAAACATTTTTCATAGTTTCATAGAAGTTTGAACTTGTTAAAGGAGGCTTTTCAATGAAAACGGCCATTTTTCGCAATATGGTCACGGGGTAAAAGGTTAAAATTAATCGCTCTTTCGGAGGTAGTGGTTGTATAGAAAAGCAAACGGTTGCTATGGGAGTCATCTGGTTCTCTGGAAAGCCAGTGGTTCTTATGGAAAGTCAATTGTTGTCATGGAAAGTCAATGGCTGCTATAGAAAGTCAATGGTTGCTATTTGGAGTCACTGGATGCTATAGAAGTCAATGGTCATCAGTAGCAAAGAAGTACCTGTTGTGTCATATCAAGAAGACAATCTATTCATTGACAAATAAGTTATAGTCAGTTGCAGCAAAAAATAAATAAATGATTTGACCTTAAAGGTCATTTATAAGTGAAGGTCAAGGTTTGTCTTGTAGGGCTATCCTGGAAGATTATTGTGTTAAAGAATGAAGACAATCTGTTTTAAAGTAACAGAATTATAGCGAGGGTCAAGATAAGTTTGGTTGTGGGTTGTGGTGGCCAAGTATGAAGACAATACACTAAGAAGTAATGAAGTTATGATCAACGTTAAAGTTTTTGGAACGGCAACTTAATCCGTATGTTTCCTTATCTTTTTCTGCTCACCGACTTAGATTTCAGTTTACTCAGAAGGTGTATAAATACTAAAATTTAATGTTGCAATATATATATTTTTTATTTAAAAAATATAAGATGAGGCAATACCACGGTATAAAAGTGGATTTCGTCGATCAGCAGCACTCGATTTAGGAATTCTTCCGAACTCTGATGGTATAATTCCTTATAACAATATGGAAGTAGAAAATGCGATTATTTTTGTATTACTTATATCCACAAGAATTATTTGCCTAATTTATATTTATCAATAGCTTATTGCATTTCTTAAATAGGATTTTGCGTATTTAAAGGTCAAGAATCATATTTAAAGTGATCACTTTTTTGTTCTTGTGAATTGATTTTTCACCAGCGTTATCTACATTAAATTTATAGATCTGTTAAGAAAAGGAGTACTAATAGGCATTCAACATGTTAAGAACAAAATAAATTTCTTAATAATGTATGTACCGGGCGAATAATAAAAAGTGCAACATCTCTCACATTTCCTAGCACCGGCTTTCAAGAGTGATACTCAATTGTCAACACTTAAAAGAGCCGGAACAATAATCCCAAAGGACCAGATATAAGATCTCTGACGTGAAGTACGGGGCTAACTTTTTACAGCTGCAACGGCACTTGAAACCTTCAGCTTTCCCTAATTTGCCGACTATTCATAGATAATTCTAAGCATTGGAAAAAATGGTTTTCAGCTTTACTCAAATAATCCCATACATTAGAGAGAGTGTTGCTCCACCAAAATTTCCGAACCTTTTGTTTTTACTCAACTCTTTTGTGATTCAAGTTATTATGCATATCATCTTTTATAGCATTATAAATGTCTTTTTATGCACTTTCCATAACTGTTTTCTGTATATGACGTTTTTCATGATCAAAAACATTATCATATCATCTTAAAAAAGAGCACTTAGTACATTAATGAGATCGATATTTTCATAAATATCATTACCAATATATTTGCACTTGTCAGATTTTAAAACAGGTGCATTAAAATGCCATTGTGATATAGAATTATCAGGAATATAACTCGGAACAAAACCGTTCGGAGCGTCACTTTTGATAAAATGTCAGTTCCTATCATTATAATATAATTATAGACAAGTGTTACCATTCATGCAATACGATGGTCATTGTCAGCACATTCCTCGGCGAAACTGATGTAAAGACATACTATACATGATTTCTTCAGTTCAAATTACACGTGTTGCTATCCAAAAAAAAAGAAAAGAAACAACAACAAAATAAAAACCTAACAACATTTTTCTTTTGAGATTAGATGTGAAATGAACAGCCTCTCCATCAAACACATTATTTATACCAATAATACACTTTTTTGTCTCACCAATCATGCAATTCAATTTCCAAAACTTACAATTAGAACACATCTCTGATATATTTAGAAATTCGCTCACATCCGCCTGTTTAGAGGAATTACATGGTGGCAAATAACATATATAAGTATTAACAAAAATTTAGAGTGCTTTTGGCACCAAATTCTATACATTAAAAACTATAGTGAAATCATTAAGAACTTTCATACAATAAAAATCTATTAAATTAGTTCTTTGTCTTTTTGTAAAGCTTTCCGTCAAACAATACTCGATTCATTATTGTAAATTTCATTATTTTTATGTTAGAGTCTGCAATTATAAAACATTTATTTTCCATTTTTTATGTTTACAGCAATCTGATCTCTTTAACATTTAGAATTTATTTCTTGTTTCCTTCCTTTCTTGAAAAACTATTTATGAAAACAAAAAATCACTGATAGCTTTCCAAATTTGTTGTGGATTAGTAATTAAAGATATCAAGTCTAGATTCAGAAATTTCATCAATGTCAATATGACATCTAAGCACACAGGGTCTTTGATAATTTCAAACATAACATCATATATGAATGATGACTGACAAATTTCTTCACGGGACAGCTTTGTAGTAATGACGATACCAATTCGCAAAAACATCATCTCGAACTTGTCTTTCATTTCAGAAAGTCGTTTAGCATCTGTTAAACATTTTTCAATGGACAATATTTTTACTTTAAGCTTCTCTATCCTAAAAATGAAAAAGCCACCTGTGTCCAATAGATTTGATATGATACATTTGAGCTGTGTTATGTCACATGGTTTTCCTTTCCCAAGGAGAAGGTTCCTCTCTTGTATCATATAGTTAGGAAGAAATTTAGAATCTAAACAGCTGAGTAGAAAAGCAAGTGCTTGCAGCAGAAGGTCTAACAATCTTTCAGGAGAATAACACGTACTTGGCTCAATATGTTCTGACACCCAGAACATCACATTCTTGATCATGTAGGAACTTAGAAGATCACAATTTGGTTTAATAAAATACTTGTTAGCCATTTTAAATAAAATGTAAATTTTTAAGAGCACAGTATTGAGATGAGACACAAGAATACTTTCCGCAGTTGTGAAGGAAATTCTCCATTCGTAGTTCTGATTCTCGCTGCAACTAGCACCAACTGGAACAACGTAAGCCTCTGTATCCATGATTTCTTGACAAACAGACTGAGATGGCCAATATCTGTCACGTTTACTCCAAGAATCTAATACTGTCAATGATATATAAGGCATTGCCAACACACAGTCAACGTCACATGACTGATCCATATACGGCATCAAATGTATTTTAAGATGAACAGTCAAAGGATTGGACGGTCCTTGTTGTTCCCGATGTTCTCTTTTTGTGCCATCATACGCAAAATATGAGCTTAATGTTTCCCTACCTATGTCTAATAAATTACGCATACAAGTGCTTAGAAGAAACACCTGACCTTTACTTAAGTCATATTCAGCGGTGAAACTAAACAAACCCATTGCAAAAATATTAGAATCCATTTCTACAGGATTAAGTTGTGTATAACCCGGCGGGGAATCTGCTGTAATCGCTTGAATTATACAAAGTTCACTCTCTACCTGAGCATTGTCCAAACAAAGGAAATTGCGAAATACTTGAATCACATCAATGTCACTTTCAGGATGTTTTGCAATGCCGTCTCCTACACTCCCGGTTATCATAACGTCGAAGTCAAACCATGGAAACAAATTTTGAAACTTGTCGGTGAATATGGAAGCTGAATGTTTGCATAGCTCAACTCTCGATTTAATCATTTCCTTAGAGAAGCCAAGTAAATCCAAAGCAGTGTTTGTGGCTACAGATAATTCTTTATAAGCCTGTGTCGACATTTTGCCTGCAAACATAAATTTAAATATTTATTGTCCTTCATCATTGTTTTTTAAGATATATATTTTTTATATATATATCAGTGTAACGCATACTGATTCTGTATGTATAAAAAGGCCTTAACATTATCTGAAATTTAAATGTAAAATGGAAAATTAGAAGACTGTGTTGAAGACTATTAATTAAAAAGTGTATTTCACTCTAAATTTTGTGTTACACCTTTGTTGTAAAGCATATCAAAATAGAAAAGCAGAATTGAACTTTCTACAGCGATAAAAACATTGTATATGTTTCATTATTTCTACATCCAGAGTAAAACAATACAATTATTTCTTATATATGTGAAATAACCATCTTTAAGTTAATTTGCGACATTATAAGATTTACTGTACATGATAGGTTTCGTTTTAAGGAAGTAAATAATTTACCCCATTCTTTCAGTATTTCAAATCAGTGGAAGCCACAAATAGAACAATTGTACAAACAAGTCAACTTTTAAGTTACCGGTATTTAAGATTTAAATCCTTGGCAAGTTTATATTCAACATGATTTATCGTTATACACTATATATAGCTTGATATTTTTTTATATCGGAATAATTAATAAAATACCTCATGAATCGTGCGATATACATGTATATTATAAATAGGTATATTACCAGTCCTATTTGGCTCTAAATATACCAGTAGCATGTAATTATGAGATGTCAATTTCATCAATTTCATTGCATAAAATTCGTTGATTATCTTTCTTTTTCATTGTTGTTAATCATCATTTATTATTAGATGACGTATAATGTTTTAAAAAGAAAATGAAACGAACAATTGAAATGTAACCTGCAAAAATCCCTTTAAGAAATTATAGAGTATCCTTACGAATGAAGAGAAACAAGTGTATACTTCACTCAGACAATATATACTAAAGTAACTTATAATATTTAAACACACAAATAATGCAAACGACCAATGAACAATTTAGAATAAATATTTGAAATACTATTTCATGACATTAATTCATTATACTATTGCGACATAAAAGTGATTGTTTCAAACCGATTATTTCCAACCCTTCGAAATAATCGCTCTTATAGAAATCGTATTTTCGTTCCGCGGGGCGCCGGTCAAAAACACGACAAAGTCAACATCTGTCCAACTTTCGCTCTGCGGGGCTCAAGTCGCGTTTTCGCCTGTCGGCCAGCGGAGCGAAAATACGTAAACACGAACATTTTGTAGTAGTGTCTTTGTCGTATTTTTGTGTTTTCTCCTGGCGCCCACAATAGAAATACAGATTCTAGACGTTTAATGGTTGAATAAAGTATCTTCAGTGAAACTAACTAAAAATTCGAAGATAAAACCACTATGGTGAAAACTCGATACGATTTCGTGTTTTCAACACTGTCCTTTCGACTTTTAACTACCATGGTTTCGTTGTTTTGTTATTTCCATTTATTAATAACCCTATTTTCGACATTTCATCATTGTATTGTCGACTTAACGGGACACTGTATATAACCTTGAAATATTGTAAATACGACTTAAATTCTCAGGTGCGCAACCTGAATGCAGTATCCAAGATTTGTACGTTTAGTGGGTTGTTTTTTTATCTATTTACCATAAAATGACTAAGATATCAAACTTTTTTTATTGTTATGTATACCAGTGTTTGAAAAAGAATGTGTAATATATCTTATATTTTAATAGGGATTAAAACAGCAAAGTATGCAAACGGGGATCAAACCCTCTTGATATATTTTGTGCATTTGATAAATGTTTTGTCAAATTTTACCTCCATATATGATTTCATGTAAAACATAGAGCATTGTAATGTGTTCTGATTACGTACCACCCCAGGAAATATTTCTTATATCACCCCGGGACACATAACACTGATATAAATATGTTGTGTAGCACATGGTGGTCAGGGTGATAGTGAATATTATCAATCAAATACCTTGTTTTAATCTCCATTTATTTTAAACATAACATTCCTGTTGCAAAAACTCAAGGTTAAGAAATCTTGAATATTGTTTACACAATAAAATTTGTCACACACTAATATTTGGTTTATACAGAATTTATTTTAGTTCGATTGTGTAGGAAGCTATAAGCTTATAGACACACTTTCGAATCCGTTCCTGGAACCAACCAGTACTGAGCAATGAGTGTAAAGTTTCTTGCTCAAGGAAAGAACGACTTGCCCCTGACGGGGTTTGAACCCATGCGGCTAGCCCCATGCGGCTAGCGATCATTAGATTACTAGTCCGACACGTTAACCACTCGGCCATGCCGCCACTCGTAATAACACTAATATTTGTATGTGTGTCTAAATTTATAATATTTATATCTGACATAACTTCAATGAACTGTCTAGGTTTGGAACTTTAGTTCAATAATGGCCGATTGATTTAATATAATCACAACAAAATAATAATTGTAAAATATACCTGTTATACAATTTGTATTCAAGTTGTTTCACGGCGTATAAAAGTAATGGACCGTTTTGTTTTGACAACAGCTATACAACAACGATATTGATCACAAACGTCGTCATGATCCACGTGATACCATGATATTTTTTCCGCATTTATTTCTGCTTGACTTAAGTTACAAACGAATTGTAAAACGAAACATAAAATACAAATATTATCATAACAATAGCTCTTTCTCATTAGATTAGTGAATCGAACAGATACATGCTACTTACTAAAGTAAAATCGAAACTACAAAGACTCTTTTGTCTTTACATTTCTGTCTTAATTAGACGGTCAAGAAAGCGAAAAGACAGATTTTGTGACACGTGCAATCATGGTTTACATTGATCTGTATAGGCTTGCAAGACATGTGACAATGCATTACATTACTGTGTAATGAACAATTACGCAATAGTAAAAGCCCAAAAAACCAGCAATATCGTTTGTGGGACTTATCTAATATTGCGTCTTTTGTGTCAGAAAGCGTTTATAAATTTTAATATTTGTAATATTTTGATAAAGTTTTTAGTAATATCACTGACATGTTCAAGCGATAAATGAAGCATCTGATATTGTCCTTTTCGAAAAATAAGTAAGAACACTTTAAAGATTTATTATGCTAAAATCTGATATTTGAAGATACTTTTAATTACTATACGAACAGTCCCTTTTAAAATGTAAATTAAACATCTTTGGAATGCATAAAGAGAAGATACATTACCTTATAATTTTATTTATAACAGGGAAACACACAGTAAGAATACATAGTGTCATTAAAAATCTGGCAGAGTTTCTTTAAAAATGGACCACATTATCTTGACAAATAAAGCGAAGGAAGCTTTCTAAAAATCGCCTGTGCATTTTCTTATTCAAATTATACAAATTATACATATACAGTAAGAACTTCCTAGATTTCAATACATTTCTGCCATAACAACATTTACCCAAAGATTAGCAATATACATGTATGTCTTTATTCATAATGCGGAAATAACCCGGATTCCAAAAGTTTATGTCGGAAAAGCAGAAATTGTTAGAAAATAAATAAAACACACAAAAAAACCAAAACATGAAATATCAAAGTTGAAATAGTGAATTATCGAAGTTGAAATCGTGAATTCGTGAAGTTTAATCGTGAACTCGTGTACATAAAGAGTGGTTCTTAGGAATATATTCCTAATAAAGTATTGAATAATGTTTCAATAAAAAGATGTATTATTTTAAAACTTATTTATAATGTTTATAAATATTGCCGTTAAAAGTACCAAATTCTGTTTTAAAAATGTGGAAGGAAACCGATATGTGCATATATAATTTCAGTTAACTGTACGTTACACCCTAAATTTCTTTAAAATATCTTTGAGCAAAGTATCAACAGTCTACATATCGTGGGATAACTATTGTAATAAGTGAACATTTAATAAGTGAACATTTATAATAACATTATTATAAGAACCCGTCAAATGAGTATTATATCCCATAAGGTATCTATAACTATAACTAACATTACACGAATGCCAAGTAAAAGGTAAACATTTTCTAATTATTTCTATTAGGGAGATCATTTTTCTTTACCTTAAGGAAATGAGCTGCTATGAGGATTTTATTTGCTCATTAAAAAGTTTAACAAACATGTATTGTTCATCATTAGCCGGTGAAAGATTCCTAGTATCAATCTAAATATTAATTAAAGATCATGTATCTCTTGTGTTACTGTGTGTATACGTATGTATGTAAGTTAAAGCTTAATGAGGGTCCATCCGCCCTTTCGGGCACAAAATGCAGCTTGCGCTGTCGAGTACGGACCCCGGACATGTCACTAGTCATGTCCTTAAAGAGTTAATTTTGAAGCACAAAATGGTGATAATTTACCTCCATGCAATTTCCACGGAGTATTAGCCAAAGATATGAATTTTGAGCCGAAAAGTAGGTCACTGTACGGCGGCCAATGAGAACCTAAATGTACAGTAACCTGTGACAATAGGAAAGGTGTTTAGCTCTGAAAAGGGCTGTTGGTGCCAGCTATAGGCCTGCCTTACAAGCCGTCTATCTGTACTAGGGGCTCACGCACCCTAGTACACCACCCTCGTCGTCTCAGCCTACTTTGTAGGGCCACTTCCCTCGGCATTAGTCAGGACACCGGCAGCTAACTTAACGAAGCAGCCGCCTTAAACGATTATAACTCGAACTTCCATCATCTGCAGATGCCCTGTGCATTCTCAGCGACGTGCACGCTCCGAGGGGATGTGAGAAGTGGTTGTGTGTATACCACTCTTGCAAAATATTATATATGTATATAATTATGCAAATAAAACAATTTTCAAACATCCAAGAATATGTAAAATGGGTACTGCAAATATTTTGTGCACATTATATTTAATCAATAAGTTACATGCATTCATTTCTTATTGGAAAATTTGACTTAGAATTTATAGAAAATAAATTTCTAATTACCTCCCTTTATTTACGCGAAATGTTAAATTGGGTAATATCTTTATAGATAATGCTTATTTGAACTTACAAGATTGACAAATCTTAATTTGAGCATCATATTTATGAAATAAAACCATGAAAAATGTGTTACAGGATCTTTAAGAAATAATTTTGATTTCTTCACATTTGACAATCCAGTAAAAGTTATTTAAGATTCATAGCTTAATATGTAAAATGATTATCTCGGGATCAGTTTTAATTTAAGTGATTTTTAAATCCAGGCAGCTATGTTTTATTATTCTTGAGGATAGGATTTCATACTTTTAATGATAAATATTTTAAGGATTTGTTTTGGTTAGAAATGCAATGTATTTTATTATACAATTTGTGTTATTGATACAAATAAATGATTTTAAATTTCCATGAGTTCTGATTTATTTTTACAAATGATGTTTAATATTTCATTGTGTTCACTCCTTGATGGATATTGATTTTTTTAACATAAATGTCCACTGTTTAGAATTTAACGTGAATACTATTGACTCAGGATAAATTGGTATAATTCTGGAACTGATTTAGATAATGTTTATGAATTTTTATCATCAAATGTATTTTTTTTTAGTAATTAAGAAAATTTCTGCTTATATTAACCACCACATGATCTCTATAGCACAGTGTGTAATAAGAATTTGTCATATGACTTGTTGCTTTACATTGGCTGATGAACAAAAGCGCTCTTTATAAAATACAAATATTGACCTTGATCAGCAATGGATAAAGGAAATCGTTCAGGAGTGTGACACTGATAATAATATAGATGCATTGAATGATACTCGTTGTTCTAGTTATGATGTCTCCCAAGCATTGCACAAATATTGTAAAGAAAATATTAAGCTATGTAAAACACTGAGCACTGTTGATTTTGAAGACTGTAATGGTGAAATAATTGACTGTGCAAAAATAAAAAAAAATTCAGACTGTTACAAACAGATGATCTGCTGCCAAGTCGAAACATTGGAAATGCATGGATACAATTGAAAAATATGATGACTATTTGTTCAAAAAGCTGAGAAACAGTCCAGCATACTTAGAATCCAGAAAAAAAGATGTTGATGCAATGATTAGACAGTTAAGTATACCAACTTAGTTTATATCCTTGTCTTATGCTGATTGACAGATCTTAAAGTTCATGTAAATCTGAATGAAAAAGATAAGTACAGCAATGAACAAATTGAAAACCTCACATGAGAACAAAAGATAAAATTGATTCAATCACATCCAGTTACTCGTTCAAGTTTCTTTGACCAAAGAATTCTGCTCTTTAAAGTGATTATTAACTATTAGGTAAAGTGATTTTTAAAGGGTTGAATCCCAACAACATGGATCTCCACATATTCATATGATTCTGTGGGTAGAAATTGCTCCGTAAATTAAATGTACACTTAACTTTTCTAACGCTACCAGTAGCATTTTCGAAATAACTTTAAATCAGGAAATATTGGTCAATACAGATGCCATTGTTTGATATAAAATTTACAATTCAATAAGTCTAAAAGTAACAGATTTTATTAATTATTCAACGAAACCCTGTTTTTCAAAGGCACAAATTTAGCCAACTTTTCAGTACTTAACATTATAATGCCCCCCTTCAAAGAAGTATTGGGTATATTGCTTTGCATTTGTCGGTCCGTAGACCAAATGGTTTCCGAGTGTGATTACTAAAGAACACTTAGGTCTAGGAACTTCAAACTTGGTATGATGATTCTTCATGACCAGTAGATGACCCCTATTGATTTTGGGATCAAAGGTCAAGGTCACATTGACCTTGTAGGTAAAAACGGTTTTCGAGTGATAACTAAAGAACGCTTAGGCCTAGGAAATTCAAACTTGGTATGATGATTGTTCATGACCAGCAGATGACCCCTATTGATTTTGGGGTCAAGGGGTCAAAGGTCAATGTCCCATTGACCTTGTAGGTAAAAACGTTTTCCTAGTGATAACTAAAGAACACTTAGGCCTAGGAACTTCAAACATGGTTTGATGATTGTTCATGACCAGTAGATGACCCCTAATGATTTTGGGGTCAAAGGTCAAGGTCACATTTACCTTGTAGCTTAAAACGGTTTCCGTTCAATAACTAAAGAACACTTAGAAGTAGGCCTAGGAACTTCAAACTTGGTATGATGATTGTTCATGACAAGCTGATGACCCCTATTGATTTTGGGGTCAAGGGGTCAAAGGTCAAGGTCACATTTAAAAAACCGGTTTCAGATCAATAACTTGACAACCCATGGGCTGTTGGCCCTCAACCTTGGTAGGTGCAATTGACTTGACCAGTAGATGACCCCTAAAAAACGATCAGAAACTGTTTAATTGCTCATGTGGGCATCGATTTTATTATTATTTTTTGAGAGACGAAACTTGTGTGCTTACTGGTAGGTAATACATGTAATTTCGAATTAATTTAAAAATAAACGTTTAAATTCATTGGCATTTGCAGCAGTTATTAGGAAATATTTTTTTATATTTTGAAATGCCAAAACTGTAAAACCAAGAAAGAGCAAGAGCTCTAATCAAAAGGTGGTTCCAGTTGCAATGTTTTAAGTGTTCGTTCATCTATATTTTGCCAGTCATTATAATTTCATTTTCGATCAGACGTTTTTATAGTATATAATTTTGTTCATTTTCAGG